TAGTTGCAGTGCTCATCCGGAGACGTCGCCTTACATGACTAGTCTGATGAACTCCATGTCCTTGGTTCTAGATGAGTTTTACAGCGAACTTCGCTGTTGCGGTGTTTCCTCTGTGACCGGGCAGGGTATGGATAAACTCGTGGAGAAAATTGTTGAGGCGGAAGATGAATATTATAAGGTGTGTGGTCGTTATCCTGTCCTAGTTCTGTTTTCGGTATTGTATGCATCTTTGTTCTTTATAGCCTGGTCTCATTGGTTTACCACCCCGTTATACAATTTGCAGTTGAATGAACTTGGCTGATCGCTGCAAAGCTCACAGACCATACACGTAGGTTCGATTGTGTAAGGTTCTTGTGAAATGGACCTATTTTGAGAAAGAGAAAGGAACATTAGCCCATTAGGGTAGATATCACTGTCTAACGGTGCATGCATACTGGTCTGATAAGAATTTACCACACGATCGTCAATTGTGCCATGTGTCTCCAGCCAACCGGTTACGAAGTCCGTTTAGTCTACCTGTGTGGTGATCGGGTTCTCAAATTTTGTAAGCACACACGAGGGCTTTTGGTTTTGGGAATAGACTCCAGAGGATGAACGATCTGATAGTGATCCGCGTAATTTTATGTTGCAAAGCCTGTTTGACATGGACAACGATAATGTTTCTACTTCATTTTGATTTGTTAAATCAGTTTTGGGTTCGGGGAAAGGTAAATATGTGAAAGTGGATTCAGTTAGAATACGGAAACTTTTTGAATCGAAAAAGACGAATAGTATTCCAACACTTAAGCATGCATGTTTTTTCTTTCAGTGCCTTGAAATTCCCTGAATGTATGGGTTAGTGTATTTTACACTAGTGTGAATTCAGACTGTGTCAACCAAATCACCCGATACGAATTTTAGTACAGTGATCCAATCAAGTCAAGCATGAACTTTATTTGTCCATTGTAGACGACACAACTTCAGTGTAAATATCTTCGGCACAACTTTGGTGTTTATAAGCGTAGCAGAAGTTTAGGTGGCTGTGTAATATTGCGTTAGGTAGCGAATGACAGTAATTGAATGAAATGCTGGATTTCCAGTACAGCTATATGAAATTTTGTTTCAGTACGTGGAATACTTGTCCCCTAGAAATCAATCAGAACGAGAAAAAAATCTTTACCGATAACAGAGGTGAGGATATGGAACGAGAGGATGTTTGGATGCAGTTGACGTAAACCGTTGAGCAGAATTGTATCATACTATCGATCACAAGTGACAATATTTTGATTGGTAATGGGATTGGTGAACGCTGCATTCAATGGCCTTCCATATCCGGAAGTGCTTTTCAGAGAGGGTTTAATTCAAATTAAATTCTTCGACAGCGGGCCTGGAAACATCACATTAAGTCTAATAGTGTGTATGAATCTAGAAGTTATATTTGACGACATCTTCAAATCTTCTCGGTGTAAAATACAAACAAATTCGCTTCCGGACTTGAAGCGCAGTTTAGTTTGAATGACACAAACGTTGGAGTTCAATGGAACTGAAACAATCTTTCAGAAATAAATTAGAATATTGGAAATAATTAAAAATTCGGTGCACGAAGCAATCCTATGACTAATGAAAAAGAGAAGTTCAACGCCTTTGCAGCAAGCTAATGACGAACCCCTATTATTAGTTGATTTCAGTTGAGTTTGAACATGCCTCTGTATATTGGGTAGGTAAATTCGAATGTGAAAAGATCAGTGCTATCGGTGTGGCCTCGTAGCTCAGCTGGTAGAGCGTGCGCATACAAAGCGTAGGCGGCGTCCATGCGTGGGTTCGAATCGCATTGAGGCTACTGAACTTTTCGCAGTCGAAATACAAACTTCAAATCTGCCAAACAGCAATTTGAATTGATGAAGATCAAAATTACAAGAACGCTGAGTGGAACATTCCCCACTGTGAATCATTAAACTTCTTTGTGGAATCTTTAAACACTTCGATCATACACTCGGGTACAAAATGATTGGGAGTTCAATAGTTTTTACGGTTCTGCGCCTCAGTGCTACCTCCAAACTTGCTGATCCATAGCATTTTGTGTGATTTTTAAATTTTGTTTCGCAGGATACGTGAGAAAGCACGTGGAGGTACATTATTGTGATTTTTCTTTTTAATCGTGCTCTTTACTGAAATCATCGTCATCGTGGTCACAAAAAGTAAATCCTGAGGTTTGATAGATATTTTCAAAGTTAAAGTCCTATTGCAATTGCAATCTTCTGGGTCCCTCTCCCAGGAATTCGATAATTTCTTTCTTCGCTTGAAACATTTCATTGATGATCACTTTTGTATCTGATGTCCGATAGAGTGCACTGGGCAGCTATTTCCTTGCTAGAACTCATCCGCACTGAGTAGTACTATTTTCGTATCCTGCTTGACTCGAACCGCGAACCTGCGAGTTGCGAGCCAAAATCATCTCCTTTACTTTACTCCGTCGACCGCCGTATATGAGTGACAGCGTTTTTTGTTTCCATTCGTCTGTTAATTGGGACGCTTGAAAAGTCCGGAACATTTGAGAATCTAGTTGCTACTCTTATACTATTAAATTCATTGAGTTTATCACTACATCACTTAAAACCCAACACAAACCTTTACTATTTCTATGATATTATCCTGCTGCGTTTCATATGTAGCATGTTTGATGATGTCTTCTCTGTTCCTTCTCAGACGTATGTCCCTATGCTTGAATCGCGACGGATGCGTGCCAGTAGACAAGAGGCCTCAGGCTCAGGTGGATGTGAGTTATTTTCATGGTCATATGTATTTTCTAAAACTTTTTTCTTGGTTGAAGTCATCTGTTCGTGATCCGTTAGGTTGCTTGAATGCACAACGCATCTCCGATAAACAAGTCACTGGATTGATTTTTCGGATTCCGTATTTTCGTGGTTCGGTGATCGGCAATCTTCGCCAAACCGAAACCATTGTTTCCTCATGTTTAACTTAATTGTGGCAATAAAAAAACAGATTTGCACAACACACCGTGCATCGTTTCGCCGTGCTTGTACACGTTCATACTAAAGTTGAAGTAAGACATGTGATTTGTATCTAGCTCACACTTACTTATGAGTGGTAATGATACTATTCTAGACTGACCATCCTTCGGACCTCATCTTCACCCACAATCCTCAGTTCATCCATTCAAGTGATTCCTTTTAGTTTCACTATTGATTAGACCGGATTCCACCACGCTGATTCATAACACGACCTATTCGATCAGGTCCAATGGTCAAGGATCTCATTAGTCTATTGCCGTTGAACGTTCAAGGGCTACCTGGTACAACGAACATTAAGGTCTCTGTATGCATCACCCAGGCCTGTTTGTGGAACCTATATATCAAATACCGAATGGATTTCGAACAGTATCTCTATCGTGCCGCCTCTCGCGGTGTACGACGACATTCAAGCCGCTGATGAACAGTAAAGTGTGATCCGCTCATTCTGCTGTTGATCCGTGATTGGTAGTCCATGAAGTACCATAGTATTGTTCGTTATTGATTAACCTGAACCATAAGCCGGATACTTCAGGATTTAACTATTCTTGCGCCATACAGTGTTCCTTGTGAGCGCTTTGTAATAGCACCCATAACAATACCCAGTGAATAGTAGTGTTTAGTTCATTTCAGCTCAGTTTGTCCTGTCGTACAGTTTTGTGCAGCTCTAGTATCTAGCGAATGCTTTTCTGTCTCTCATTCCTTTTCTAACTCGATTAGTTATGACTACTCTTCTCCGTATCTCCCTAAATTCTTTTCCACTCTTC